AAGAAAATTACGGTAAGTATGATTAAATTTTCAGTTTTTATTGCTAACACTTTACAAATTCTGACACTGGTATGCAAACCTATGAGTACAGCTGTATATAAACAGACCTACCACCATCCTACAATAACAGCAGCAGCCAAAGGGAAACTTTCCCTTCATCTATTACACAAGAGAACACCCCTTCCCCAAACAACTATTTGTAAACAACAGAAAGCCCTTCGTGCTACTAGGGTTCATGTATATGGGCTCCAGCCTCATAAGCAAATCAACGCAGTAGAAGACCCCGAGTGTGTTGAGCATAATATATAATAAAATAAAGTCATAAAGAAAAACAAGGTCTAGAGGTGTTTAAAATCAGTGATTGCCTCTAGGGTGTTATGGCTGGGTGAAGTGGCTTGCTTGTGATTGACTTCGGGGTCGCTCCCGTCTCTGCATGGATATTTGCTTGTATCAAGGAAAAAACAGTTTAGATGCAAACATATTCCAATGTTTACAAGCCATTGCTGTTTGGGAAACTCAACAACCAGACAGTATCACCATCACTTAAGTAGCTTAAAGGTGGTTAAATCCATCTGTATATTTTGGAATGTAATTACTGAATTCAGCTGCAGCGGAAACCTAGCTCCTGTAACCACTAGAACAAAGGAAATGCAGTATGGGCAAGCAACATTTTGAAAGGTAAGAAGAGCAAAGCAGGTTTTCATTTAAACTGAACATTTATTTCAATAATTACTCTTTTCTCATTGTCAGATGTTAGGCGATCATGCTATTGATGAAAGTCAACCACTTACCTTCTTCCTCGCAGTGCGCTCATGTTCCTCTTTTTGAAAATGTTTTTCACGTTCTAACCTTATGCGATCTGTTTCTTCTTTCTAGTTAGAAGATAAAAACAAATGAATCAGTAACATCTCAGATTAGTTTTAGATAGCCTTTGTTTGTACACAAATAGAAATATACAATATACTGAAGAATACAACTATAACAGCACGTGATTATAAGAAGAGACAACTTAAGAATTGCATTTTACAGTTAGAAATTTTGCAAACACCTAAAAACATTTTCTGGATTTCTGCCTGGATGGCTATTAATCATGAACGGATTTTCATCTAAGTTACAGTAACTATCTAGCTAAATGTTTTTCAATTGTTGATCAAAGGCTATAGAGTGGGCACAACATATGCCAATGGAACATCCTGAAAACAGTAAAGATACGAGAGATCACAGGCTTACTTAGTTATCCTTTTTCATAGGACTTATTGCACCCCAGAATTTCTTTTCAAAATAGGCCTAAGAGAGGACTCTAAATGTAAGTGCGGACTTGAACCAGGTTCGTTGATTCATCCTTCTGTGGCGATACCCGAAATTTGTCTGTTACTAGCAGGCGATCTTACATGTTGTATATTCTGTATTTACAGTTCAGATTCCCTACACCCCGCTGAATTGACTAGTCGCTGACGGACACAATTCGCACATTCAGACCCAGATTTTCGACTGACAGTCCAGTCTTTAAACACTTAAATGTTCAAGACCAGCTGTTAAACGAATTCTGCTGTTTTGCTGATACTCACTCCATGGCTCCGAGCGCCAACAATCATCCCACGTTCAAAGGCTGTTAAATCGCGTTGTTTACCCATATCTTCAGAAAAAAATCACTTCTACTGTCGTGGTAAACAACCTGCTTCCCTATTTATAATGGTCTGGCCCTTTAGCAACTTCAGAGCGAAATTATAGCTAATTATAGCTAATTTGCCTACAAACGTCAGGTGGTCATAATAATATGGCCACTCGGTGTATATCCCCCTAAAATATGAGCATCTAATGTCAGATTGGGCACTTTAGAGTGTTTGCCACAGGGACATACTTGTTTCTGTAGACGCTCTGCTTCCTCACGTTCCCTCTGTTCTCTCTCCTCTGCTTGCTGTTTAAGAATATTTTCCCTTTCCTGGTGCTCCTTCTCCTCTCTTTTTTTTCTTTCTTCCTCCTGCTGTCGTGCCTCCTCTTCTCGTTTAGTTCTTTCCTCAGCTTTCCGCCGAGCCAACTCCTCCTTCTTTTTCCTGCAAAAATAATCTTAGTTAGTTTGTATAGTAAAAATGTTTAAAAATCCGATACAATATCTGTCACCTTTTCCTGCTAACATTAGTGCCAAATAATCATATTTACAGTTGAATACCAATGACACTGCCCTACAACCCACTGTGAATTCCTAAGTGACGTAAAGGTTAAATTGTAATTGTATATCATCTGTGTTGTGTATCCTTCATGCTATTAATGGATATACCACCTTTTTGCATACAGAAAAGTTCAAAACAATTCTATAAATAAAAATGAAAAAGATCATAAATAAATCACAGTTAATGTATTTTTAACGATTTCCTCCTCCCTGATACAATACATTGCAAATGATCCTCCTCCACACGAGAATAGGAGGAAGGGGGATATTCAGCGATCTGAACTGTTTTAATCTATGACTGATGTATAACTAAGAGAATATGGAGGTGATGTCTGTGTGCGCCGTACCCGAAGAAGAAGTCCTAGTGACGAAACACAAGTAAAGGAAAAAGAGCACGGTGATCAATAGAAAAGGGACACTGACAGTTTGGAACAAACAGAAGATTTTACAAAGACTTTTATTTATTATGTTTTCAATTTTTATTTATAGAATTGTTTTAAAGTTTTCTATATGCATAAAGGTGGTATATTCATTAATAGCATGAAGGATATACAACATAGATGATATACAATTACAATTGAACCTTTATATCACTTATGGATTCACAGTGAGTTGTAGCGCAGTGTCGCCTGTATTTATTGTTTCAAGAGTAGTAGGATTGCTATTCTTTTGACACAGCAGCTTTTGAGATCATTACAATCTTCACAGAAGTATAGCACAGTGGTTTATTACAAACATATTTACCGTTGTTCCTCCTCTTTTTCCCTCTTTTCTTGGTCTCCTCGCTCCCGTTGTTCTCGAGCAAGTTTTCTTTTTTCTGCAAGAATTCTGGTTGCTTCTCCTGGGTCAGTGGTACCAGCAAAGGGCTTATTAGACACTGTAGGTGATGGTGTAACTGGTGTGGATGGCAATGCTGAAGAATTATCAACAGGATTATTATGAAAAACAGTCAAGTCTGTTATAAAGATGTTAGAAATGACTTGTTCATTGTTCTCGGGACCATGCTGCAGATTATAGTACTGCATACAGATAAAAAAAATTATAGTATGTGTAAGTGCTGTGTGGTGCAAAGACAGATCTAAGCAGAAAAATGTAGGTCTTGGAAACTCCATTAAGAAGATTTCCCTGCCATAGCTGCCAACTCTATTCCTGCCCACTTGGTAGATGTGTGTTTTAGCTCCTCAAGGTATATTCTCCATAAAGTCAATAAAAACAGGTAGAGTAGATTGTTTCATATTCACCACGGAAGGTGTGCAGACCCATGAACCCAAGTGCAGATATCCCACCAATTAAGTTCAGAGAGGTATAAGAAACTCTCAGGTGGTTCAACTCTTCATTAATTTTCAAAACAGTTGTATCAGTTTTGTGTGGACTATCCAAATAAACGCAGTTACCCTTTTTCCTCTTTGAATCCTGCCATATATTGTGACCACTCTTATAATTTTAACAAAATTCTCTCTTTTATCCTCACCATGTTTTCCTTTTTTAAGAATTCAAAAATATTCTAAGCATAACAGCAGAAAATAAACCTCTCATGTCTATGTGAAAATCAAACACCCAAACCCAGAGTAGGCTTTTTTGGGATATCCCTTTACACGCTCTTATTTTAATTTGTTGCCTGTGTAAGCTTATGTATAATATTTGGCAAAGGAACTGCTCTAACTCTTCTTTCTCAAAGGAAACCAACTCTGATATATGAGTAAGCAGCAGTGTACTCTAGTTCACCTTTAATATTATAGTCTGGTTTGGTCCACATGACCAGACAGAACTAAAAGCTTTATGCTTATGAAATGTCCTGGCAGCTGCTCCATTCGGTATAACTGGGTGTACACAGTCTACAACGTTAAAATCACACACTGTGCTGTCTAATGAGATGTGATCAAAAAGCTAGCCTTCACCACCTGTCCTTCTGCACCTCCAAAGCAGCAACATGAGCTGCTATAATGGCAGTTCCACTAGCTTTTTCTTTTATCAACAATACTTATGCAGATACTGGATCACAAAATTCTCAAGGTTTGGCAAGGTATAAAACTGTATAAAAAGTCTTAGTACCTTGTACAGTTTCGTCTGTAACGGGACTTGGGCTACGTGGCATCTCCTCCTTGGTGTTCTCTACATCTGCTGGTATGTCTACTGGTATAGGATCCTTAGTCTCTGTGTTTTCCTTAGCTGTGATGTCAGGCTGTTTGACTTCAGTCTTTTTTTTGCTTTCCCTTCTTACTGGTCGGACATTTCCAGGTGATGGTGGGCGCTGAGGGGTAGTTACCACTTTGGAACTGTTAGATGGGGATGGTGCTGGCTTAGCTGTACTGGATAAAGTGACCCATGGCTTCTGCTGATAGCTAAAATTAGAATAATTGAAACGTCAAAGGCATAAAAACCTGATTTAACATGGTCATTCTAGATATTACTTTGAACCTAACAAAGATATGTTTAAATTGTATTGCCTGTTCCTGTGGTGGTACGCTCACCAGTAGCCACCCACATATTTGCACATATTTTCTATGAGAATGCTTGTGCAAGTGATGTAAAAACACCTGAATGTAGCTATCATCTTTTTTGACATTTGGGAAACAGGCTTAAGCTACCTACAGATTCTCAAGATTTCAGCTGTTAATAATCACCATATTTAAAAAAACAATGGCTTAAGTATAAATAACATCAAGCATACATATACCCTAGTGTCTATGGAGAAGGGAGGACATGCACTCTACATTGGCAACAGCAGCAATGGCTGGGGGGAAAAAACATACATGGTTGATCAACTCTCACTTCAAGAAAGCTTGGGTCGGGCATGCCTGCATGTCTGTATGGTAACCTAAGGGTATCTGCTTAATGTCTGCAATGGCAAAATGCGTCTTAGCATTGCTAATTTCAGATAAGAGCTCTGGATTACACACAATCCTTGACTCCATATAGAAGTATTAAAGCTGCCATTGCTGCCCAAATACTGTATATTCTAGCTGTCTGTCTGGAGGCGTCTGGAGGCATCAGGAGATGTGAAAAGGGAGAAGGTTGAGGCAGCCAACCTTCAGCCAACATTCTCCAGCTCCCCTCTGCTGTCAGTTAGGAAGTAACAATGCATAGAAGACCCAGGAGAGTGCTGCTTCACTTCAACACAGCTGGAGTGTTAGCAAATCACTAAGTGCTTTGACTTAATCTCAAGAGTGAATTATCTTTAGAGGTTTTTTTCTGGTTTTGTATGCATGCATGCATTGGGGCATGCTCATGTGGACTGTCTTTGTGAACATTCTTTAGTGAAGCTCTATACTGATGAAACAGAAAGACATTTCAACACTTACCCTCCAGATAGAGCTGCTAGTGATTTTGTTCTTGTGATGCTAGGAGAATGGTTTCTCTTGACATTGGAAGTAGGAAGTGTTAGTAATTTATTTTCCTTTTCATCCTGACGTTTTTCTTTTTTCTCCCCCTAAGTTCCAATACAAAAATGTCAGTGTCTTGTCACTTTACTGCCTTTTTTTTATATAGAAAAATTGTGTTTGTGAATTCAGAGAATGTAGCATGTTTATATGTGACTGATTTTTTTTTTTAAAGCACTAATGGCAATAGCAGGCAAGCTGAAGATCAAGATGTCCTCAAAATAATAGTTTAATGCAAGACACAACCAATCTGGTTGGCGCTGTCCATTGGCTTGCTCGGGCCTTTTCGGCCCAAAGGGGATTGTCACACTAATATAGGTTCACAGCATATACAGACTTACACTTTTATTTTTAAGTATGCACGACTATGCATTCATCTGTCAAGTAAGAACTGTTTAAGAGTCACATATCTTACAAACATCTGAACTGTGATATTGTCTGCAGCCATCCTAAATATTCTGCAAATATATACAATCATTTTGTTAGAAATTCAGCCTCTCTCTACCACATGGATTTGTGCATATTGTGCATACTGAATAACTATTAGTGATCAGATCTGAATTTGTTAATTGGGTACACAGTAGTATCCCACTGACTGATGCATGTGATCCTAGCTAGGTCAAGCACCACTGTCGCAAACAAAGTCTTTTCTGCACACCTGCAAGAACCTGCACCACAACTGGGGAATTCATGCCAAAGCCAAACTTTTTGTGGCAAATCTAAGTTCCTAACGCAAGATAGGGAAACAACATTTTTTCCACTATCCCTATAAAATTACCTTTATGAAAAAAGTATTTGTTTACATGAGGAAACTGTAGACAAGGAAGTCAAAGCATTCTATAGACAACCACAAAGAACTGTAGGCAAAGGTGTTTTCAGTTCACCCATTGACAGATAATAATTTGAACTTTTTTTATTGGACCCAATAATCATCATGCATTAAATAGATAATTGCTTTTTATATTTATGATGTATTCTAAGGTGATAATATGCTTTTACATTTATGACAAATTACATCAATGCAACTTAGCTGAATGAAAATCCTTAGAATTCTAATGCAAATTAAAATAGCTAATGCAGTTCATTTTTTATTTAACACAAAGAAAAAAAATAGGACCTGTTGTAATCACCATCAAACCCTTGCCTTGGATTTAATGAGGAACACAGGATTCAGGCAAATTTGGGTTATACTTCTGCTTACAGAAGGCTCTGGACAGTGGCAATAAAAAAAAACAGTGACCAGCCTGGTATAACTCCTCACACTCCCAGAATGTCTCAGTTGTGTAACAAAGCAGTGCTGAGTGCAAGACTATAAACACAGAGGTGTAGAAACCTGTGCACCTCTATAAACGCCAAAAAAACGAATTTTACAGTGAATTCGTGTTTTCTTTCTAGTTCATGGAGGGACACAGGATTCAGAATAATTTGTGACCTAAAGCAATCCAACTGAGGGGTGGGCAACAGAGCAAACACAAAGCCAACAAACCCACCAAAAAATAAAAAACAAACTGGGGACTGCCTACAGCTCAAAGAGTTGCCTGAAGGACCTAATGCCCAAAGCTGGCAGTAGCTCAGGCCTGAACATCCATCTGGTAGAACTTAGAGTAGGTATCAACAGAAGACCAGGTAGCAGCCTTGGTAATATGGGAAACAGTTGCCTGGTGCCAAAAAGCCCAAGAAGCACTCGCCAATCTACTAGAGTGTTCATTGACAGAAAAGGATGGAACTCAATCCTTAAGACCACAGTCTTAAACCATAATCTTCCCCTTTGCGGGGACCATCTGAGATGACCAAGAGAGAGTTTGTCTTCATAATGGAAACAGTGGCTGTGAAATAGACCCTTAAGGCAAAAACAATATCAAAACAATGAAGGAATGTACTGGAGCATAACAGAGGGATGGAAGAACAATGCCTTGGCTGATGTGAATAGCTGAATCTATCTTAGGAAGTAAGAATGCTCTAGGCATCAGCACTAACTTGTCTCTATGTAAGAACAGAAAATGTTCTTTAGAAGATAAGGCCACAAGCTCAGACACCTTACAGAGATAACAAGGAAAACAACCTTGTATGATTGGAAAGAGTAATCTAGGTATAGGTACAAAGAACATTTTTTTAAGTGCTGAGAGAACCAAATTCAGAGCTTTTAGCATGGCAAAATGTAAAGGCTGCTCACTGATTTATTCTTTGTCAGTGTCCAAATCCTCTTGTAGGCGGCAGTATAACACAAATAGCTCTGAATCCAGTGTCCCTCAACAAATGAGAAAGAAAATCAAATTCAGCGTATAACGTATTGAACCGAGACACAGTTTTTATACTTACACTGCCATATCCTGCAAAGTGCATAGTTCTCCGTCTAGCTACAGCCTCTGGAGTTGTAAGGAAAGCCTTGGGTCTCTCTGAACTTTTTATTGTTGGAGTCTTTTGTGTCTGAGGGGTTATGGGACTGCAAGATGCTGAACGAGGACAAATGGGGATAACTAGGGTGTTTTTAGAGAACACAGATGGAGATGTGCACAATGAATGACAACAGCAGGAAGCGTGAGGCAGGAAGGAAAGAAAGAAAAGAAAAGAAAAAAAGAACAGAAGCAGCCTGTTAATTTCAACAGGAAAATGTATTCCAAGCCAAAACCATCACAGCAGAATGTTGTGTTTTTTTGTTTGTTTGTTTTTGTAATTTACAGACATTGAGAGGGAAGGAATATCATTGAATAAGCAGTTCGGCAATTCAAAATTTTAGCCAATCTGCAACCATGAAAAAATGCCACATTGCTCACTTTAGAAATGTAAAAGTTCCCTCCTGACTTCACACTCTTGTTTACAGAATCCCCTCTGCAAATGATACTGATTTGCTGGGACGGTAACAGAGGAGAATGAAAATGGCCTCAATTAGCAGTGATGGATTTGGAACTACTTTTATAAATCACAAAACATTTATTCCACAATATTTACAGAATCACTGACTAGGGAGGGTAGTACTCTCAAAACATTTTAGAGCTTAATGTCAGCCTAAAACTGAAATAAGGATTTTATTTTAGATTTTATGTGGATGTTTGCAGGCTGTACCGGACACTCCTAACATAGCTATTCATCCAGCGAAACTGCATATACATTTGTTGTCAAATGTTCTTAGGGTATTTCCGCTTCTGGTTGAATGTTCTTCGTCTCTTACTGGAAGTTACCACAGTATGCAAAATGCAATGTTCACATCAATAGCAAACCACTGTTCTACTTTCACAGTTGTAACAGCCTCTGTTTTTTAAAAACTGCTGATTTCTGGAGTTCTGCTTTAATGAGGTTGCCAACGTTGTAACACAATATGTTGTCTTGCAGCTTCTGCTTGCAGCTTCTGCTTTGCTTGATCGGCAGAGGCTGTTCGTAATGTAAGAAATATAGAACAAGCGACCAGAAGATTCGATATTGCTCTATTCCCATAACATTCTGGTTAATTTGCACAGAATGAATGTAAATGCAGTTTTGCAAGATGAATAGCTATGCAATTTTTCATTTTATTGATAGAATCTTAGGTCTTTTGTGGGACTCCCCCAGAGGAATTTAATTCCTTCTGCAGCAATCTTCATAATGTAAAATATATGGAGCGTCCAGCATTGAGAATGAGACCACATGAAATGGCAGCTGCAAGGCATTGAGATCGAACTGCTGCAGTCCACAAGAGATGCACCAGCACTCAAGAAATCAGTTTTGAGAGAACTTCCTCTTAAAGCATGAAGGGAAATGAAGAGACAAAGTAATATCTAAAGACTCATTCACCATAAACACAGAAGTAAAAGATCAAAGCAAGCAGGAAGGCAGAGCAAAAATATGTAAGATATATAATCATTACTGTCTGGTAAAAATATAGCACTTTTATAATACATGTTTTACATTTGAAGAATTTAACAAAACATTTCAATTAGTATATGCGCATGTATAGGTCCTCTGCTGATCGGAGCAGTTGGCACTTGGCAGTGGATAGAAAAATATCATTACCGGACCCATGTTGGTCTACGGGAAGTCGGATGTAAAGTGTCCGTTTACATCAGATTTTCCCCGAGATCGTCAAAAATGGAACTCTGTGCGGTCTGGTTTTCTGGACCTGACCGGAGTTGGGAGTAACCGGATGTAAACGGACAGACGTCTGCCCATAGAATTACACTGGGCTTCTGATGAGATCCTCCTGAAAAACTGACCAGTGGGCCAGATCGGAATGCCCGTGTGAGAGCGCTCTAAAGTTTCTGGGAAGACTTAAATTGATCAGTCTGCCCATGTTCTGGGTCAGCAAAAGCTCAATTCCTCCCATAAAAATCCATGTACCCAGATGTCCCTTCTTATTTTGTTCACAGAAGAAAGAAATATTCATTTAAATCTTTTATTTTTTAAGACATTGTTGTTTTTAATAATTCCTTAATCATTGCTTGCACGGCTTATGGAATAGTTTCATGAAACAGGCATTAGCTGTTTAGCAAAAGAAAGAAAAATAAACTGTATTCAGCTTAGTTCCTCAAAAAAACTGCATAATGGAAAATCTTTTTTTTTCCAAATTCTTTATGTTTTTAAACTTTTTTTTTTTAAATACAGAAAGGGAGATTTGGTTCTCAATAATAGACAACTGTATTTAAGGTATCATTTAACAGATGAGACATTAAATGATGGAAACTACCTAAACCATGCATGTAAAGAAATCATAACCATGCAGCATACTCCAACATTGAACTCACATAGCCTATAAACATGAAGTTCAGTGATGAGAAAAAAAAACCCAGAATAATGCATAAACACACATCTATATCAATCAAATACTACTACAAACCAAGCCATTTTTCTAAAATGGTACCTGCGTCTCCAGATAGAGCAGCTGTGCTTTTACTTCTAGCCAAATATGAGTGAGTTGGTGTCAGTAGTCTTGACACCATATTGGACTCCCATGGACTAAGCTGCGGTCGCCGACCTAGATTACACAAATATTATATCAGACACAAGCAGGATCAATGTAAGAAACACTGTGACCCATTACACAAGGACAGACGCTTAATACTGACCCATATTCATCTAAGAAAAAGGAGTTCTCTAATTAGGAGATATTGCTAATTTTATTACAGTTATTACAAAAATAACTTTATAATAGGGCTAACATTTCTAGAGAATACAGCATTTTACAAGATGACCTGATACTTATTTGGCAACCTGTGCACTATTTTAATGAGGCACTAAGGCTTAGCTGTGCATGGATTATGTATGTGGCTGTATTCTTTTTTCCATTTTGAGAATATTTTCAGCAACAGGATTTGTATCTTACTTACCTGTAAAATCTGTTTCTTGGAGCGTATCACAGGACACAGGGAGGTCATTTTGGAACATATGGGTTAAGCAGCTAACTTTAGGTGATTGAACACTCGCAAATCAATAGGTAATTCTGGAATGGATTGGACACCCTAAAGCAGACCAACAGAGGGGTGGAAAATACAGCAAACACCTAACAGGCCAGTCAAATAAAACAACCAACCCTAACAGGTGACAATAACAGTTAGACCCCCAATTAAGAGGGCTGCTTGAAGTACCTTGTGGTCAAAACTTGCATCCGCAGAGGCCTAAACATCCACTTGGTAAAACTTGGCAAAGGTTAGAACAAGTTAAAAAGTGCGTGGGGTTCCCCCCAAAAGCCATAACAGGCCCTTTAGGTCTGGTAGGAATTTTAAGGGGGAACCTCACCACAAAAAATGGGGGAAAAAAGATGGGGCCCCACTAAAATTCCTATCAGGCCCTTTATCCGAGCACAGGCCTGGCAGGGCAGGAAATGGGGGGGCACACACGATTGAGTCCACCCCCCCCCCCCCCTGGGGCCTTACCGGGACACATGACCCCGGCCT